AATAGTTAATGATGAAATGTGCAGCTTACTTCTATTTGTACCTGTATTATTGCTAACAAATGCAGTGTGAAAAACAAAAAGAACACCCTCAATTTACCTCAATAGGAAAAAATGTTGGCCGTTTAGGCTTGCCAACATTGATACATGGAAGGTCCGAAGAGTATCGTAGATCTATCTTTCGAACATTAACAAAATAATCATAAACAGTTATTTCCTCCGTACTGTCTTCTCCATCCATGCCACCTTTACCCTTCAAAGTAAAACTGCAAAAAACACCTGTTAGTAAAAAGCCTAGACACATCAAATAAACAACCATACATTTACAATATAGCACATACACAAAGTAAATAATTGGCCTTCGTCAGCCAAAGAAATTTAAAAAAAATTAAAAGGAAAATAATAAGTACGTCTGCTCCCTGCATGGAAGTTCACTGAGCCCAGTAATTTTGAATTCTTGATTAGATGGCCTAGTTTTAATCCTCAGATTTTTTAGGGTCCTTTTAGCCTGTTCAAAGAAATATAAAATAAAAAGATCAGACCTAATCCTTAAAGATCAATGAAGGACAATAAAAATGCATTCAAATAACTTGTTCACCTTAGCCCAGTCAAGTTGAAAAGGATCTCTCACATTTTGATTAGCAATTAAAAAGTCAACCACAGGCCCAGGAGTAATTATCATAGTAGTCGACACATCTAAACAAATTAAAGATAGCAAGAATTAGACAAAACACATTGACTTGAGAAGATTACATGCAGGCAACAGGTTTAACCTATGTTAAGAGACAGGCCACTCTGTGTAGTTCTAAAACTTGAATGGAATCCTCTACAGCCTAGGACACCACCTCCTACATCAGCAAAATTATTTGGATCATTGTGGAAGAAAGATTGGCGTACAAGTAAGCAACCTCTGCAATAAATAATCAACAGCTAAATTATCCAGGCAATATTATTTAAAAATTATACAAAAAAATTTAAGCTATTCACATACTAAGAAAAAGAATATTTACTTACTGCTTAGCAGCATGCTGCCTCAAAATGATATCAAGAACTCTAATGGCTTCTTGGAAATTCTCTGTCTCCTGCCCACGCAAGGCATTGCCAATGGCCTGCATTGGAATTTTTGCAGCAAAGCTTATCTCTACTTTGAATGTCTTTGCTCGGTATGGACGCCGCATCCTCTTTCTGTCACTTTCATTATCTCCATGACCATTAGGGCTGCAATTTCCATTATTCCTAAAGCAGAAAAGAAGTTATATTGATGAGAAAATAATATGAAAACCAATTTTGTGGGCCAATGAAACAACTAAATGCACCAATCATTTCTACCTGTTTGATGTGACATCCTCAAGAACAACTTCAAACTCAAGCTTGTTTTGAGGAAGCGAGCCAATAGTAAACAAACTTTTCTCCCCATCATATGCAAAGTCCTTGCCATTTAAGTCAGAATGATATGTCTCCTTCACCCTGTCCATTATCTTCCTCCCTGCACCCTTACCTTCAACAGGGCGTCCATCTTCATAAGAAAAAGCCACCTGTTTGTATATCAAGTGATGTAATAGTCAACTTTAATTGAAAAGCTTAAAAATAAACACAGATATATAATACTAAGCCAAGGACAGAAAGGACATACACTATAATGGAAGAAATGTCCATCATTTTTAGAGACATTAACTTTGAAGTGGTTGGTTTGTAGCTGTATTTTCATTCCTTTGGATCCCAGACCACGTCTAGCTATTGGAGCACGGGAAGCCTTTTTCTTAGCAGGTTCAACAGGGGTAGAGAGCACCTCTTCCGCTTTGAGAGGTACAACATCAGAGGGGACAACAGGAGGGGGTGGTGGCAATGGCTCCTCCTTCCCGTTCCCATTTCCATCTGGCTCAAAAGAATCCATAGCCTGTACACACAGAGCCAGGGATATAAGGTAAAGCAGGATATCATAATGACACCACATACTATACGGTCAAAATATGATACAGCTAAAAATAAATAACAACCGCTAAAACTCACCAGGACCATACCAAAAGCCAAGTGATTAGTGATGTGCAGATGAGAAAAAAATACAATTATTATAAAGCTACCATAACAAGTTTTCACACAATTGCAGCCGCATCAAAAGCATTTTGTCTACAATTATTCACAATATCAAAGATCATGACAAATCTGCCGCAGCCAGAATTTAAAAGCATCCACTTGAGAATGGTAACTTCACTGAAGAGTGACTTCAAAAGGTCAAAATGAACTATTTTCCGCAATCATGGATATCATAAAAAGACACTAAACCGAAACAGGAAAAGAGTAAAAATGACTGCGACAAAATCTTATGCTAATTAAATAGTTAATTTCAAAAAAAAAAGAGCTAAGCTTCAAAATCTTTGCAAAATATTTTATTTTAATGCGGTAAATGCCACATATATGCAAAAATGACAGACTCAAATGCCATATCATCCTTTAACGTACATAATAAGAAAAATACATACATTCAAGCCGCCCTCAGTAAAGCAGCGACCAGAAATTAAAATCTAGTAACCAATAACCCCAAATACCCAAAAAATAAAGACATGCATTGCAAAAGTTAGGGTTTTCGCTTACAAAAAAATTATTAAAAAAAAATAACACGAAAACGAACCTAAAATGCTACCAGTTTGTTTGGTTTATCGTGAAAAAGTCTCAAACGGCCGTTGAACGTGAAAGCAACAAAATGTTACTTCTCATTTTTCTGCTTTGGAATGTGAGAATTCCCGTTTACGTTATTTTGAATGATAATCCAAACACGCTCTACATGTAACAACCTCAACAACCCAAAGTGTAATCCAAAACAGTGAACAAAAAAATTAAAAATTTGTAGCAAAATAACCCCATTTCTGAAACAAAATGCGGTTGGTTTGAAGGCAAAGCAAAAATATTTTCAATTAAAATAAACGGTCAAAAATGCAAGATCCAAGTCCGTCAAACGCACCACACAAACAACCTCAAAAAACCAGAAATTACACACACACACACACAAAAACATAAAATAAAATATAAAAAAAAAAAAAAAAAAAAAAAA